GGCTAACAGCCTTATAAAACCACAGTACAATAAATATCCATTAAAACCAAATTAAAAGAAAATATTTGAAAAGGCCAATCGTTAAAATTACCCTTAAAATACCCTTAAAAACCCCACTAAAATTCCCTAGGCCAGACCCGCTTGTTGAAAAAGCCATGTCTTTAGGGCGCGGCGGAAGGAGGGGAGATCCGGGATCACCTGGATCTCTGGGGGTAGTTCGTTCTATAATAGACTCCTCCATGGGCAGGTCTCCATGAAGCAGTCTCCTTTCTTTTGAGCAGATTAAATGAACATGGCAAATGATAGTTTGTCCTTGCAAGCAAGAGGTTTTGAACTACTCTACTTATGATGTAAAGGTATCACCATAATCAAAAAATATCTTTAAATGTTTTGAAAAATCTATTTCAATTCCATTCATCTGTGGCTACTTTCCTAGAGGTTCCTTCTCTCTTTTTCTCTCCTAAAAGACTTATCAAGAAAGGAACAATCAGAGGAAGAGCCATCATCAGTAATGTTTACTTACGCCTCTGGAAAGGCTTTGCCATTTATCCACATCCACTTGTCTTTAGGGTGCCTCCTGAGGCCAATCCAATAGCTAGAATTTTTCAGATGGTCCAGAAATCCCTGGGGAAAAATTAAAGCAAAAAGGATTATATTAATGTCTGGAGCTATGACTAAGATCCAATTCACTGAATCAGGACTAAGGGTACTGGTGGCATTCACCCAAACTAGGATTGCAGCAGATTTAAGTTTATTGAATTTCACTTCTCTTAAAACAATCCAAGATAATAGGAAAAAGCTCTATTTGAAAATTCTTTAAAAATACAAACACAAAGATGTGAATGAATGAATCTCAATTATTTTTACTGAAAGGAAAATTCAGAGATTTCCAAAATGCCATCCAGCAGCAAGCTTCAACAGATAACTCTGAGGACAGATTGGGATTAACAATGTGATCAATTATCTTTTCCCAGTTGCACTCGAGTATACTTCAAACATGCTGTGGCAAAATTCCTTTTCCTCCTGATGTTGTTTTCATTTCATCCTCAACTCATACCTGAGGCGCTTTGAAGTTGTCCTTATTTGTTTTGATGTTAAAGCAACTCCCCCCCCCTTAAATTGGCCACAGGCTTGGGAGTTTTACAATGAGCTATTTCACATTCAGTTCAGTGTCACAGTCAAGTAACTCCCTGGAGATGGAATCAATGTGGCATCTATTGGCCATTTTGTGACGGTGTGGGCAGATGCAACTAATCTTCTGGTCCTGGCATTGTATTCCAGGGACATTCTACTTGAGGCAGTGGGGAGTCTGTTTTATTTCACAGTGGACGCTCCTCTGTACCCACTAGGTCTCCAGGTCAATACTTGGCTTAAAAATGTAGATTACCCTGAATAGCAGCTGAAGAGCAGTAATGGGAGGGGGAGGAAGGAGTATTAGTTTAAAGGAAGAGAGAGGGAACTCGACACTAATTCTTGTCCTTCTCACACTATAAATCAGGACACCACCATTTAGCAGCAAGCTAGAACAGAAGGTTCAGAGGATAAATTCAGAATAACAATCAGATCAGTAATTGTTATGCCAATATATTTTTTTTAGTATGCATTGGAATAATGCAACCTCCATCTGGAATCTCTCTTAAGCCTGTGTACATGTCAGCTAGCTAAAAGTGTTTGTGTTTTTTATAAAAAAAAAAAAAAGAAGAGAGAGGCTTCTTTTTGTGAAAGGTTCAAATCTTTAATAAAGCAGAGAATGTTCAGGAGATATGCCCTCCTCTTAAAATGTTAAGATTTCTTTCATATATTTAATCTTTAGGAAATGGATGGCAGAACAAAATTTGAACCACACTCAATTGCAAATGTTTGTATTGTGCCTTACGTAAGAATAGGGCTGGGTGAGGAATGGTAGCAGGAAAAACTTTAGAGGGCAAGATAACCTGTCTCATAAGGAATGGCTCACCTGTTTATCTGTGTCATTTTTATCATCAACCACTACCAGGTGAGCTTTGAGGCTTTGGCAGTTACTCATTGCCTTCTCCCAAGGTTGCTGATCAGCAGAGAAGTAGTAGCAATTTGTCTGGAACTTCAGCCAGCCTTTTGGACACTGAGGGATAACTGCAGGGCACAGAACCATGCAATATGGTAAGTAAGAGGGTGTTGCAAGGATTCTATACTTCCATGTTACTATACCAACTATGCCAATATGGTACAAATAAAACACATCAGCTATCATTTTCCTAAGACTTATAAAAATGGAACTAACTATAATTAATTAATTAATTAATTAAAAAGAAAATAGCAAAAGAACCTCAAAGGGTAAACTCGATGGACTACTAGGTCTTTTTCTGCCGTTAATTTTCTATGTTTCTATGACTTTCCTCCAACCCCTCTACTTATTACAGCTTTAAAATGGAGTAATTTCCCCAATCTGTGGATAGCCGAAGCATGTATATTTCTGAAGACATGCTCCATTTCTACAGGGCCAAAGATTTTCTCACCAGGAGATCACCACTTTCTGCTTCCTGTAGGAATCAGAGCACATAATTCTCCTCTATCTCTGCATCTAGGTGACTGAATGAACCGTACAAGAGAAATGCAATAGCATGAGTCACCTACAAAGTTGGTTGATTAAAAGGAAATGAAAGTAGCATAGTGAACCTATTGTTTTGTGGGAAGCTGAATTAATTTATTTCTTATTGCCCATAAATGAGTTCTCTCGTAGCATAGTTTGATAATGACAATTAACATGGATGCGATTGAACGTACATTTCAAAAAGGCCAGCAGAAAAGCAGCTGTTGCCACCAACAAGGATACACACACCAAGATGTAAAGGACGATCTTAGATGCTCTCGAAGAGATGCAACCTGTATGATTGGCAATATGCACAAATGAAGACGCCCCTGTAAATAACCAATAGAAAGCAAACGGATTACTATATTGTTTGATGGCTGGTCGAAGAAAGCAGAGCAAATGTATATAAGCAGAAGGAGGCATATGTACAAAAGTCGGAATACTGAAAAGGGCCCATGCTTGAGTAAATTATCTCCCTCCCATCCCAGGGAAGGGGACATTGTGGGATATGAAGGGAAAGATGGGTGAGATGGGTCAAAATAATTCTACCTTGGCCATATGTCATAAACTTTTATACTTTTTAAACCTGTTCTTCTAGGACAGGGGTCCTCAACCTTGGCAACTTTAAGACTTATGGACTTCAACTCCCAGAATTCTTCAGCCAGCAAAGCTGGCTGAGGAATTCTGGGAGTTGAAGTCCACAAGTCTTAAAATTGCCAAGGTTGAGGACCCCTGTTCTAGGAGGACAGAGAGGTTTAAAAAGGCAACCAGGAGTTCTGGTTTATAATTTATTGAAGATACTATACAATTCAACAGAGCCACCTAGACCCTAAAATGCTTCGAGATAAAATTAAAAAAACAACAACTAAAAGACTGCCAATAATTTCACAATCAAATATTCATAAAATCGCCATCTCATTCCTCTGTAGCACTGTTAATAATATAGCAATTGTTTAAATAGGCATAAATAGAGCATGTCTGGGGAGAGGGTCATTGAAATCATAAATATCTCCCCTCCACATTGAGACTTTTTAATTTTTCCCAAACTAGAAAAATCCCCCATGATTTTAAATTTACATCCCTAGATGCTTTTGTGTTTTTAAGAATTTCATACCTGACTTTGATTTCATTGCTCTTGTTCTATTTGGAGGTACAACGTTCTGATAATTTCTTTCAGAATTGTCCAGATTGCTTCCAAAGACTAGAAAAAGAAACACTGTTAAGTTCTGCTCTGTATAAGTTGCTATATAGGAAAAGCTTGGTGTAGTTTGGTGTAGAGATTAAAGGTGTTGGCCTAGAAACCAGGAGACTGTGAGTTGTAGTTCCTGCCTTATGCATGAAAAACTAGCTGGGAGACACACTTTTTCAGCCCAACTCAGAGAAGGAAGAAATATTGGTATGTTCACCACTTGAGGTGTGTGTGTGTGTAAAAAGGCTATAGCCACATATGAGGTGAAGTCAGGCAAAAGTAATGGGCAAGTCATTGTGCCCAAGGCAGAAGTAAAACATAGTCTCCTGCTTTCCAGCCTGGTTCCTTAACTCACACCAAACTTGATGCTAACTTGAGCATGCCTCTCACCTCTACTCTGCCACCATTCTGCTCTAAAGAGTAGGATGCAATAGCATTGTATAACCATTTTTTTTAAAAAAATCTGTATTTTGAGCACAATCTTGTTCCTCCTGAATGCAAAGATTTCCCTGATGGCCTTTATAATGCCCTGCAAAGACCTATGGTAGTCCTGGATACGCCTGAAGTTGACTTTAAAGATTCTATTTCCAGTGGACTGGTAACAGGGTCAGGTTGATTCTTAGTCCAGACTAGGGACTGTTCTCGCTTCACGGGTCCCTGGGCCTTTCCTGTTTTCCCAGATATTCAGATGCCTTTATCCTTTGCCCCCCCCCCCACATTCTCTGCCCTTTGGCACTAGATTGTTTTAGAAGGGGAGGGGCTTTGAGTCAGTGATGACTTCTAGTGACCACCTGGAAAACTCCCTGAAGTTTTCTTACCAAGATTTCAGAAATGCCTCTTTTGCCATTGCCTATTTCCTGGGCCTGAAAGAGAGACTGGCCCAAGGTCACCCATCTAGCACTGTGCCCAAGGTAGGAGTTGGAACTTACAATCTCCTGCTTTCTAGCCTGGTTCTTTAACTACTACGCCAAACTGGTTCTCACAAAACTTGACCCTAAGATAGGCCTTTTCCCCTTTATTGCACCACCATTGTTCTGATTAGTAGCCCAGCTGACAGAGTATATGCATGGAGGAAGGGTGTGTGGTGAATTGGGGTGAAGTTCTGGTTGGTATGAAGGGTGGAAGAGCAAAAAGTCAAAGGTATGGATGGGACCACAAGGAGAAACAGAAGTGAGTAAATGATCATGAGTTAGTTCTGCTCCTGACTAGTGCTATAAGTTCAAGGAATCCAGTTTCATGCTAGTGAAGAGTTTCAGATTCACAACTATCACCTTGGCCCATGATGCTACCACAGCCAGAATGGGATGGGATGGCATCCGTTGTCTTCCATCCAGCCTGGAATATAAGTAACTCTGTTATGCTATAAAACAGCTATGGGAAGTGCAGACACTAGTGATGTTACTAGCACTAATGATGTTACCTACTTTAGGTAATGAAACATCTGCAAGAAAACAACCAAGCTCAGAGAGCACCAAGGACCCCTCATTTCAATCCTGAGCTAGAAATATTCTCCTTTATTAGTACCCAATTCTGCCCCAAGAAATGTTTCCACGATCTTGTGCAAGTTCTCAGAGGAAATAAAATAATAATTAAAATAATTAAAATACTCTGGGACTTTAGAATTCAAACAGGCAGGCACCTGCCATGTAACACGTCAGACTTAACAGTTGTCGATAAGAAAGATGAAAAGGTCTGATAGTGGATGTGGTAGTATCTGGAGACAGAAGAATAGAAGAGAAAGAATTGGAGAAGATAACAAAGACCTGTAAACAGAAATAGAACAACTTTGGCAAAAGAAAGCAAAGTTAATACCAATAGTAATAGGCACCTTGGATGCAACCCCAAAACAATTGGAGCACCACTTGAACATATTGGCATTGACAAATTCACCATAAGTCAATTGCAAAAGGCAGCTTTACTTGGAACAACTTACATTCTGCGACGATTCCTCTAACACCATTAAACATCTCAGGTCCTTGGGAAGGACTTAATAGGTGGATAAAAATGTCAAATCCAGTCTGAGCATCTGGCTAACTTTGCAATGAGCCATATGAAACTCGTCAGCAGAAGAAGAGAAAACTTGTAATGCAGTCATTGGTGACAGAACTACCAAACCACTGCTCTGTCCAGGTTTATGTCAACCTGTGTGTGTTTTCAGGAAACCACATAAGGTCTGAAAAGTGTTATAGAACGTCAGAGTAGCCTGAAGTGGTTAGTGGTAGGTAAGCGGTTCCCTAACCTTGACCACAAAAGCAAATGTGGTCAGTAACATGTACCAGATCATATCCGTTTTTCATTACGTCATGAAAAGAGACACTTTTTAAAAAACTGGAAGAGTTAAAGATGATTTTGAGCTGCCTCAGGCCTGCATTGGGGATGATACATAGTAATTTCATGTGGACAAAGCAAAAGAAGAGGTTACTAAAACATTTTAATTCCATGTGGGTTGGCTTTTTGAGGCAGAGATTCCCATAATCATTATGTTCTTCTCTAAGATCTGCCTCAGATTTAAAAGTTGCTGCCCTGATTGAAGAGCTTAATCTGATACCCCAAACAGGATTAGGTTGCCATAGAAAAATATAGCTTTCATAGTTATTAGTAGAAGCCTTTTCCTACCTTGCATCTGGCCTTCCATGTTTTCTATTCCTCCGGTATGATAGGGCTCCAGAAATTTCTTCTAAAATAGGATCCAGATACTTCCCCAAAGACAATCAGTATTTTGTTTTGAGAGGATGGCAACGCTTTTGTGTTGCAAAACTCCCAAGAAGTTCTTCCTGTAGTTTAGATACCAGACAAACAAGCACAAACACTTCCATGCTGGGACTTTTAGTTGTCATTCAGTCCCTTCATTGAGTGAGAGCTAACAAGGAAGGAAATGGCAACTTTATGGGGAAAAATATGGTGAATCCAGATAAAGTAGACTTATTTCAAAGGAAGTCAGGTCACTAAGGGAAAGGAAAAATTAGGAAACCAAAGAGCTAGGAAACGTGAAAAAGGATTTCAAAATATTTGAGGACAATGTACAATGGTATCGGGTCTCCTGCTTAAGCAGGGGGTTGGACTAGATGACCTATAAGATCCCTTACAATTCTGTTATTCTTCTAAACATCTGAACTGGACAGTCATAGATATTCTCATTGGAAAAGTGACTGTTGAGGTGTTTTGAATTTCCCATGTGCGCAAAGCAAAACTAATAACTGTAGTTTTACTCTACAGTTCAAGCCAGAATTTATTTCCTAAGGTAAGTATATACAACCTCTCTTTTGAACTCACCAGTGTTTGCTCTAACAGCCATTCCAATTAGGACAAATTGTAATGTGCTGAGCATATCATTTTGCAGCATTCAGCCCTTGTTATGAAACAAAATAGTTTATATTCGTTTACTATAATGATATTTTATACCGATCAAGCCCCCTGCTTGCCTCCCAGTTGCTTTGAGTTTGTGACACGCGCTGGACGCCCGTTCGAGACAGTTCTATGTCTCTTTCTGCCATCTAGTGGCCGCCTATTGTTTTTGCAGGCTAGTTCGGCGAGTGCTACGGGAAACTGGCTTGGCCGCGGACCCGTTGCCATAGCGACGCCTTCGGGTTCACGGGGCTTCCGCTGTGCGCTCGTTCTTTCCGGTCCTTCTGCTGCCGGAAGAGAAAAGGAGCTGCAGGCGAGGGTTAATCTCGTTCTTTGGGTGAGAGATGGAGGGGGCGATTGCGGCGGGGGGGGGGGAGGCTTGGTTTGCAAGATAAATTATTGTAGCCCCTTCCTGTCATGGTCGTGTTGCCCCAGTTCTCTAATTTGGAAGGAGGTCTCACTCCAGGGGCAGTTGGTGTCTGGCATGAGGAAGGTATTCCCTGCCTTATGTTACATTGAGTTTGAACATCGGATATAGCTGACGGGGCTGCTCCCAAGCAAATTTTGTGCGATGTAACGTTGTGGGGGTGTGGTGGGGGCGGCACTTTAGCAATCTATAAGTCCATCATAGAAAGCAAAACAATTTCCCTCCATGTAGTCTAAAGGAAACTCTCCCTGAAACGGGGGAGTTATGTAAGCCAAATTGTTTCGCTTCTGATTTACAATTATGAAATTGATAGCAAAAGCATCTAAATCGTACTGTCATCCAGAATGCTTTCAGGATCCAATCTGGGTCGGTCACGGGGACTGTTTCACTTTGGCTAATTAAAAGCTTCAGACAAGCCAACACAATGTAATGAAAGTTATAATGTTCTGTGACTGTTTTCAGTTTCATCTGAATCAGAATGTTTTATGTTTGTCATAAGTAACATTCATAGACCTGCTTTTTTGAATTATATATATATGTGTGTGTGTGTGTGTGATTTAAATGTAGTTATTTTTATATATACATATAAATGTATATATAAATAAAATAGTTTTCAAATAGTTGAAAACTATTTTATTTTATATCTATATCTGTATTACATATGCATATGCATATATAATGCAGATATAGATATAAAATAAAATAGTTTTCAACTTATGATCACAGTTGATCCCCAAATTTTGTTGCTAAGCAAGGCAGTCGTTAAATGAGTTTTGCTCAGTTTTAGTGAGTTTTGATCCATTTTACAACCTTTTTTTCCACAGTTAAGTGAAGCACTGCAGTTTGCAGTTGTTACGTAAATCTGACTTTGATTGTTGAAAGCTGCCTGGAAGGTTACAGATAGTGATTACATGACCCCAAATTTTGATCATGGGATTGGAGGATGCTGCAATATTTTAAGTGTGAAAAACGGTCATAAATCACTTTTTTCATTGGTGTTGAAACTTCAAAAGTCATGAAATGAATGATTGTAAGTCAAGGACTGCCTATATATACAATATAAATATAACCACATCATTTATATAAAATATAATCATATATATAAAATCATAAAAAACAAATGTATGAATGTTACTTATATATATATTATAGCTATCTATCTCTTAAAAACCACATCATTCAAATGAATGGCTTTCACTCTAAATTCTATATATTAAACATTATGTAATGCAGGTATACAGTGTCAGCTTTCCAGTCTGGTGAATAAGTTGATGGTTTCTCAACCATTAGTTTTAATCATTTTGTATGATGATCTCTAGTGTCAAAAGGTGGAGGAAGATATTTCCATAGACATTGTTGAGTCACTGAAAAGGTTTTTACTTTTTCTCTCCCCCACTCACGTGTTTCTTTGTTTCTAAATTAAACAGCACTATGTATTGTAGCCATGTATTTATTGCCTCGATAACTTTTTTTCCTCAGTAGCACTATGGATGCGCGTTTTACTCGTGGGAAGTCTGCTATCCTTGAACGTTCACTCACCCGACCCAAGACAGATGTAAGCCTCAGTGCCTTTTCCCTGCTGTTTTCCGAGATTGTACAGTACTGCCAGAACAGGGTCTATTCTGTCTCTGAGCTTCAGAACAAACTTTCTGAGCTGGGCCAGCAGGTGGGAGCTCGTATCCTGGATGTGCTGGTAATGCGAGAGAAAAATGGTAAGCGGGAAACCAAGGTCATCAATATTCTGCTCTTCATCAAGGTGACTGTTTGGAAGGCTCTCTTTGGGAAGGAAGCTGATAAGCTTGAGCAAGCCAACGATGATGACAAGACCTACTATATCATTGAGAAAGAGCCTCTTATCAATACTTACATTTCAATTCCCAAGGAGAACAGCACCCTCAACTGTGCTTCCTTCACTGCCGGCATTGTGGAGGCCATGCTCACTTGCAGTGGATTCCCTGCTAAAGTCACAGCCCATTGGCACAAAGGGACCACACTCATGATTAAATTTGATGAGTCAGTTATCACACGTGACAAAGCGTTGGATGGTCGTTGATATGTTTTGTATAAATAAATTTGAATTGTCCTTGTGTGTATATGTATATATAGAGTATGTATAGATACATGCACACATTCTATGATAAAAGTAATTTATTCCTATGTACTTTGAAACCCTGATTATATGCAAATGGTATTTGGTGAGGAAAATCAAGATCCAGCATCAGAAAAAGTTACTCTGTTTAATAATGCCTTTTTCAACTTAGTTCTTGTCAGATAATCCTTGACTTCTAGGCATTCTGTAATCTCAGATATCTGGAGGATATCAGTCTGGGAAAGGCAATATATTGCATTTCTTTGTTTCTGTCCTGTTGAAGTTTGACAATATTAATGAAACAATGTATGCTCTACCATTAGATTATTTGCTTATGCTGTTGTCCTTTTTACTTAGTTCTTTCAATTATTTGTGACTATTGCAGCCAATTTTCTTTGTGTACCTGAAATAAGAAATTGGACCTATGTTGATATTTCATCTAAAATATATATTTTTAGAGCTGTGGTCAAGAGTGAAGGTTTTGCCTATTTCTGTGAAGTGTGCTTTTCACTGATGATGCTGTTTTTGCTCTGAGTACTAGGAGATAAATCTGCTTGACTATCTACCTGCAGAGACGGATAGATTATTAAGTAAAGCTCTTTTGAGAGTTGGGCCAAAAATCACACACATTTCCTATCAACTTAATCAGCCCTTCATACAGCTCTTTCCTGCTATATTTTGAGAAAGGGGGGGGGAAATAATTACAACTGCAATGTACATGATTATCTCTCTTTTTAGAAAAAGTAAACGAGAAGACCATGAGTATAGACTTCATACAGAACAGTAAGCTACAGCTTGCTTATATGGATAGAATGCATGACGGGTACCAGGCTTGAGCATTTTTTCAAGTTCATGTAAACAACCCAAAGTTTTACAGTTAGTGCTTAATAATTAACCAGAATTTCTTCAATCATAGTTTTGGGAGCAAAATGAAAATTAGTCCTAGTTATTTCCTCTCCCAGCTGCAAAGTGGAGTGTAGACCATTGTGTTTTCAAATCTTGGCTTAAACTCTATTCATATATGTAATTTTGACCAGCTTTACCCAGGACTGATTTGTCATTTAATACATCACTCTGTTCTTACTATTTAATGCACTTGATGTTTTGGAGAATTGGTTTACTGAAAAAAAATAAACTTGGTGAAATAGCCCTTTAAGGACTGTTTTTAATCTCTCCTTCTGAATATAGCCCACTCAACATCAGTTCAGGCTTCCGAATGCTCTTCAAGTGTGCCCCATGTAGAATGCATTGCAGTAGTCTAAGTGTGAAATGAGTAAGTGACAGTGACTCCTGATCCAGCAAAGGCTGCAACTGGTGCACAACCCAAAGTTACGCAAAGGCTCTCCTAGCCACGACTACCATCTCCTCTCCAAGCATTAGTTGCGAGTCCAGGAGAACCCCAAGTTGCAGACCAAACCTATCTGGGGTAGTGCTACCCTATCCAGAGCTAAAGATATTGTAGTGCCAGATCTTGAAGCTTCAGGGACCCAAAGCCATTTGGTCTTGCCAGGGTTCAGCTGAAGCTGCTTGTCCCCCATCCAAACTCCCACAGCCTCCAGGCACCATGAGAGGGAAGCAGTAGCCTCACTTGGAGATGGAGATATAAGGTTGAGTATCATCCACGTATTGATGATATCTCAACCCATGGTGATGGATGATCTTACTCAGCGACTTCATGTCGATATTAAAGGAGTGGAGAGAGTACTGTCCATGTGGCATGCCAAAGAAGAGCAGCTGTGGATTGGATCTCTCCCTATCAACACCAATTGGGACCATCCTTGGAGAAAGGAGTCAAACCAGTGCAAGACTGTGCTGTCTGGCCCCAGACCCCCTAGCCAGCCCAAAAGGATACCGTGGTTGGTGGTGTTGAAGGCTGCTGAGAGGTCAAGGAGAGCAAGAATGGTTGCACTATCCCCATCCTGCTCCTTGTCAGAAGTTTTCTGAGATTAAACTGTCAAACTCAGAGGAGTAGTTTGTAGCTACTCTATGTAGCTTACCTAGATTTTGTATATTTTTAATGCAAACAGGTAAATGCAACTGGGGGCGGGGAAACCTGTGATGTATAAGTTTCTGGTAACTTGTTCTGGACCGCTGTTTGTTTTTTATATTCCCTTTCCTTCTTTATTTGGAAAAAGAAATTCTTTCAGATGTTAGAAAACTGAATCTGTGATGAAGAGGTGGTTGACACTTCCGTTGTGAATACTGGATAAGGAACACTGCAATCCAGTGAATGTATACTGGGTTGACAGGGGAAAAGGTGGGGATCCTGAGCCAAACCTTTCCTTCTCCAACAAATGGAGGACTTAGCTTAAAGGCAGTAGAAATACTGTACAAATTTATCAGAAATCTTGGAATCACTGACACTGCAAAACCACGCACCCTCCAGTCCACGGAAAAACTTCTCTCCACGAACCGGTCCCTGGTGCCCAAAAGGTTGGGGGCCGCTGCTATAAAGCACTATGGAGCGATATGTAAATCTAAGTGCTATGAAAAAGATAGGAAAGACTAGTGGGACAAACTAAATTTAGCTCTATTTCATTGTCTTACCTCAGGCCTTATTTCTGGTACTGGCATATTATTTCTTGCTTCTTTTCTGCACTTTGCATAATGTCACTTACCTTAAAAGAGAACAGCATGATGTATATGTACTGTATGTATATATCAGTATTGTAATGGCTTGTTTTCTATGATAGTCTATTAACAAGCTATAAAAGCAATGCAGTACAGAGACAATATTTGCAAATTATCTGCTCACTAAATTTGTAACCCTGAAATCAATACTCGCAGCACTTTCACAGACATGTGCAGAGCAGTTAAAAATTTGAGTCACTTGAGGTGCACGTTCCCAATTGAGGTTGAATGAGGTGACACAATGCCTTTGGCTTTCAGACTGTAAACAAGTGCTATGTATTTCTTCTTAAAAGAATGCTTCATTATTCAATAATTCAGTGTTCATGGCAACTTTATAGAACATAACTACCACGAATGATGAGAATCAACTGTATGTTGATGCAGTCTTTGTTACTGCTAGAAAAGTAGCTCTGGAAATAATGGGTGGAATTATAATCCATATTCACATGGCTGTTTTGTCATATTCTGCTTTCATGATGTCCTAAATCTTACTGTCATTCTTGTAGTGTGACCTTACCTTGTTCCCAAAACAGGCCAGGGCTGCATTATTTATCCACATAGCTTTAACCTTTATTATAATTTCCCAGCAATACCCATAATGTGAAAAATCTGCTTCATGTTGGCGTCTTCAATGCTTCAGTTACTTCACAGTCTGGTATTTTTTATTCCTTTCCCTCCATACCACTGAGTGATTATTTTGGAGATGTTTTTTTTCTCAGTCACAGAACCAATTGGTGTAGTCGTAAAGGTGTTGGCCTGGAAATCAAGAGGCTGCAAATTGTGGTCCTCTCTTAGATTTGAAAGCCGGCTGGGTGACTTTGGGCCTCTCTCTCTCTCTCTCTCTCTCTCTCTCCCTCTCCCTCTCAGTCCAACCCACCTCATAGGGTTGTTGTTGTGGAGAAAATAGGGGACAAGAGCATTAAGTATGTATGTTTCCCACCTTGACCTGATTAATTTTATACATAATATAGATTGATTATTACTGTAATTGTTTCACCCATTGACCACAGGATGGCAGCAAGGAGTGGCATTTTGTATTACTTGGCTGCCTTTTGGCATTACTGAATATTTGTGCCATCACAGTACCCATTCTGTTAAGGAGTTTGAAAAAAAAAACACATTTTAGCTCTGTGATGATAGGTGGAGAGAAAGTCCATTGAAGCAAAAAGGACAAAGAAAATAAGAACAGCTTTAACGGTTGCAAACGTCAACACTTCCTAACTGCACTTACGGTGGGAAAACTGACTCACCAGGAGGTGATAGCATCACTTTGGATGATGCTATGAATACTAATGGACACTCCAAAACTATCCCCAGATATTTCTCATTTTGAAATATTCTCTTCACAATACATACAATCAGGAACTTTTTATGGACAGTTACTTAGATTAATTGTTCCAGTTATAGAAAGGTCCTCACACAAAATTTGCTTTAGTATGTGAAAAGATCAGATGCATTTACACTGGTGAATCAAGTCAGTGCAATACAGTACTGTTTTGTCCTGGGCCTGCTGAGTGACTCAGCAGGTGCAGGAAGCTGCAGAGAGGCCCGGGCAGACCACGTGGATGCCCTGGACCAGACAGGCTGTCTCCAGCCTATTGCGCATGTGCAAGGCGGGAGAATCCGTTGCATTGATTGGTTGACACTGTCTCTGCAAAGGAATCTGCACCATTTTGTATTGGTTCTGTTGGAGAGTAAATAAAGAGAAGACTGTTGTTACTCCTGCCTCGTCTCAATGCCTTTACATCGAAAACAGAACAAGTACATTGGTCAGAATGCAGTCCCAGACTTTAAGCGTTTGGCATTTTCACACAGGCCTCTGGACAAAAAGCAACGTTTCACTAACACAGCAAAGAGTGAGAAGAAAGTGGGCAATAGAGATGGATATAAGAAGATCTCCAGGCTCCTCAGATCCCTTGCTTTCTTTCCTGTCAGTCCAATATACATTCATAAAAGGCAGCACACGCGCGCACGCGCACACACACACACACACACACACACACACACAGAGAGAGAGAGAGAGAGAGAGAGAGAGAGAGAGAGAGAGAAAGAGAGAGAGAGAGATGGCTCAACAAATGACCAAATGACCAGAAGCTCACATATCTCAGGATCTTTTTCAAGTTGCATTTATTTAGATTTACATTAAAAACATATCAGATGCAGAAAAGTTACATGAAAATATCTTGGTTTGAGTTTGACAATTTAATTTCAGAAGATTTCAGTGTTTGATACAGCAAGTATTTTAAAATATACATCTGCTCCTTTGAGACTTGTCATATGCTGTTCCTCCATGGCTTTGTTCCTCAAACCATTAGTGATCTATTTCTGTACTGAATTGTGAAGAGGGAAGTTACAGAAGAGGAAAAACAGAACTTTTCAACTAATTATTTATAAATTATGTAAGTGTACACAATTGGAATGATTTAATCTTTTGCTATCCCTACTTTATTTGGTATAGATATCTGGTTGATTCAGATTATTAGGACTCAACTACAATGAAAAGATTTGAGGAAAAACTGTTAGAGAATCAAGCATATATAACTTTCAAAGAAACAACAACTCAACATATAGATACTGAATAAAACGCTAAAGACTTTTCTAGGATGAGAGTGATAAAGACATTCATAGAAGAGCAACTAAGATGATCAAAGGCCTGGAGACTAAAACATACGAAGAACGGCTGCAGGACTTGGGTTTGGCTAGTCTAAAGAAAAGAAGAAATAGGGGAGACATGATAGCAGTATTCCATTATTTGAGGGGCTGCCACAAAGAAGAGGGGGGGGGGTCTCGTTATTCACCAAAGCACCAAAGGGCAGGACAAGAAACAATGGTTGGAAACTGATCAAAGAGAGAAGCAACCTGGAATTAAGGAGAAACTTCCTGACAGTGAAGACAATCAGTGGAATAGCTTGCCCCCAGAAATTGTGGGCACTTCATCACTGGAGATTTTTAAAAAGAGGCTAGACAGTCACTTGTCTGAAAGGGTATAGGTTCTCCTGCTTGAGCAGGGGGCTGGACTAGAAGACCTCCAAGGTCCCTTCCAGCTCTATTCTATTCTATTCTATTCTATTCTATTCTATTCTATTCTATTCTATTCTATTCTATACGTAGTCAATGAAAATCAGCTAGCAAAGACCATAAAATGGAAGTTATCAACAGTATTAATAACTGTTTCCTAGAGAGCAAACTTCGGGAAATGGACAAAAAGTTGTTTTAAAAAAAGACAAAATGTACACAGAAGTCTCATAAATTGGGTTTGTTTTAAACAATTGGATTCAAAAATTTTATACATTGATAAATATCCATCCATTGACAGAATAATATTTTACAACTTGGAAAAGAAGTCAATGTTATATTATTTGTCCATAACCACACAAGACATGATTCAGTAAGCATATAATTAAACTATGATTAGGAAAAGTATAAAAGAGAATTTATGTAGAAGCTATTTTACTTGTCCAAGAAATAAGGTTCAATTAGTCCTTTGCGTCTTAGAGAGATCTGCATTTCTAAG